TTTGTCATGTGTACTATTTGAGTTATTCTAGGAATAAATGTAATATATCTTTGTAATGACAAACCTCATCTTGATCAACTTCTTCACTGTAAGTTTCCAGATATGATACCATTTTAAATTAATTTTCGCCGAGGAAACAGCAAAGGAAAACTCCTTTGCAATAATATTTACGGTAATTAATACAGTGAACCAATATTTTCTTAGTTGCAAACCATTCTCGTGACGCAAATTATGCCGGTACGCACGAATTAAGTTCCTTTTTATACAAATTTTAGTCGCATGTGGAGTACCATTGCATATATAGTTCATGCTTGATTAAGGCGTGCCCTATTCACTGCTAATATCCGCCGCTTAAACTGTGTTGCTAAATCCCTTCCGTGTTGACAGGGGCGAAACTTGAGAGGGGTGTGGCAACCCCTAAATACGAACATCCTGATCGGCAGGGCAATCAAAATGCGAAAAATTCCAATAAAATTAAATAAATGAATTATGAATACAATTTTAAATGATAGAATGTAGAGTTATTAAGTAACTTATTACAACTAGCAAACAATGTCAATAAGCAGTTCGTATGCATGTACATTGGCATCGGCAGTTCAATTATACACGTAGCTTAGTGATGTATTATTGTCAGTATTAGCGCTGGCCTTGGTGATGTATTGTATTGGGCTGCAGGGCATCATCAGGGCAATTCTACCAGACACCCCCTTAAAAGGGGGGTAGTTTCGCCCTTGCATGCGTGTTGGTGTGCATGTATATAGCGAGATACTATGTCGAGCCTTTCTAACGACAATACAGTCATACAGACATTACATGGATATAGACTGATAGTGTCTGTATTAGAGAAGTGCCCGTTTTGTAGACGGACGTTTTGTAGAACTACTGAGTTAGTCGAATTTCGACCCATTAGAAACTGACCGTAATATATAAAAAAATGACAATACTACAATCTTGGACATAACACTTGAGACCGTTCAAACCAATATTGCAAAGTTAGCGCACATTGACAAAACAAACTTCGTCTCCCCCTCTCCTCCAGCTCAATGTTGTAAACAACGTCGAAACAACTTTTGGTAATTTACCATGACACAAGGTCAACATGGAGTTGGGGGAGCAGGGGCTTATAAGAAGCGCAACATGTTTTAACATGAAATTTATCATAAGGGGGTATACGAATTTTATATAGAGGGGAAGGTAGTTCGGTTAGAAATGTGTCCGTATTTAATAGAGTGAAATCTTGACAGCGACGTTTGAAGACGAAATATGATGCTTTGCATGTTGTAGTACACACCACACATCATTGTTTAAAAGAGTATATAAACAAGCACTACTTTTACATAATATTTTTTCCGACACAAATTCACACTACGGCGCATGGCTATAGTTTATATAATTAGTTAGCATAATATAGTATGACGTCATATTCAAGAACAATAGTTAATAATCTGAACCCACCCGGAAATTTTTGCATTATCAAAAACAACCGCAAAATTAGTTGCAAGTATTTTGAAACTTTCACACGGAAAACAAATATGGCGTCACGCCGTCCGTGTATTTTGCCGGCATGGGAAATATACGTCTTATTTACTTTTTCCAACGTCATTGTTATGATAGTCAAGGTCAATGATTATTAAACAAACTTTTCAAGAGCCAACTTCAAGGGAAATCATAACAATAAACCGGAAAATAAGTAATATATACAGTGTGAGCGGCCTTATATCAGGAGGATTCCAACAGTTTTAACGGCAAGTTTTCACAAAGAAGCGATTTTAAAAATGAGAATTTTGCCGCATATGTAGATATAACGCCTCGTTAAACAGCGATTTCTTTTTAATTTTCTTCATAAATTATGATTTTACGACATGGGTTATGTAGACTATTTTAATAAGTTAGTATGCGAAATACTACACCATTTCAATATTGTTTTGTGCCGTAAAATTCGATTCAAATGTCAGACGTTAGATTTTGACTGCTGATGAAACGGGGTGACCGAAGATGGTGGCTCAAAATGATGAGAAGTGGCCATGCACCGATTGCGCGCGAATTTTCACGGAAAACCACAGTTTTCTCTAGAAATAAAAACTGCGATCAAAAACATCAACAACTTTGCGCAGATATATGTACGCGTAACGTACCTATTTTTGGCGCGTCTATAGGGGCCGTTGATATGAGTCGTTTTTTCCTGACCATAAAATATCGTTTGAATGTACTTTCTGCTGTTGTGGAATCAAACCTAGCAGCTAATAGACAACTTGCATGTTAGACTAAATTTTAATTTAAGTAAAGAGAAGGGAATCAAACACCACAGCTAAGAAGAGCATAATGAAATTTGTACAATTGCAAAATTTGGTTGCGAAATGTTGTAAAGCTTGGAAAATATAGCCTTGCAAAGTTTGCAAATTTTGCCGGTATATGTTTGTATTACGTGCGGAAATTGTTACCATTTTCGGCTCAAAAATGGTAACAATTTCCTCACGTAATACAAACATATAAAAAAATATGCAAACTTCGCAAGGCTATATTTTCCTTTTTTTTACAACATTTCGTAACCAAATTTTGCGATTTTACTAATTTTAACCTAGATAAAAAATTAGTCTAACATGCAAGTTGTCTATTCAACTTTGAAATATCATCAGTTTGGATATTTATAAAAGCTGTGATAAGAGGTTTATTAAACAATCCGCATCCCGCTCATCCGGGCATGCTTGGTGATTGCGTCATTTCGCGCCAAATTGGAATCGGCATGAAGAGGAATTTCCAACTGATGAATTAAAGGAACTGCATAGCTGGGTTTTTTATAAATCATCCGGCTTTCTAGTTGCCCGCTTTCCCCCACTGTAATGGATCATTATCAGCACGTTCACTATATTTAGCTTGATCTGTTGTCGTGTCGGAACACACGACACAGTGTGAGAACTGTTTGTGAACTGAGAGTAACAGTCGTGGCTGAGTTGCGCACTTCCGCATATTTGACTGTTGTGCCAGGAATGTGTTAAAATTGGCCATCCAGTCAATTGCCTTCGTGGACAATTGACTGGATAACCGATTTTATCATTTGCAGAAAACAACGACTCAAACTAAACCAGAATTGCTACTCGGAATGGGAGTCGGTCACAGCGGGTGTTCCCCAAGGCACATTAATGTTTTTGTGAAAATCGTTAATAATTCATAAAGAAAACGCAAATCTTGACCGTGAAGGAGTTTGTATATATATATGATAGAAATCAGCATGATTTACGTATTACTTTAAGCTCAATTTTGCTCACCAAATATCAGCCGTTTTGAATTGTTGAAGAATACGAATGCTTATTCTGACACTGCAATCGACCAATGAAAAATTCGTTGGCTCGAGCGGGATTTGAACTCGCATCTTCGGCCGGGTATCTAAACTGCCGCTCTACCCATTGAGCTATCATATCTCTGAGGATGGTTCTGAAATAGAATTGAAACACTGCCCGTTCTCTAAGACAAGCGTAAAGTCGTCACGAAAATATTTCGTGCACTTAAATTAAATTGGATAAGACTCGCTACCAATCCCCGTTGACTCGATAGCTCAATGGGTAGAGCGGCGGTCTAGATACCCGAAAATGCGAGTTCAAATTCCGTTCGAGCCAACGAATTTTTCGTTGCTCGATTGCAGTGTCAGAATAATATGAAACTGGTTTTTCGTATCTCTGAGGATGGTTCTGAAACGAATGTTCTCATCAAGACGTTTCACAAGCCGTCTAGCCTTCGGCTGGCGAGTCTATCAGTGTATCCGATTGAATACGACCGCTCATATTGTAAATAGTATACTTATTATCACAGTGTTAAAAGAAAATAATTGCGCACAAAGTTGTCGGCTTTGCATTAAATACTAGAGCCGTGGGTTGCCATCATCCATGGTTTCGGGGTGCACTTAATTAGCCATGGTTTAGCCTACAGCGACCTGAAGTGTTCCATACAAAGATTTATAAATAAAATTCTGGATACTATTTATAGCTTTATCACTAATCATTGAAGGGTCTGTAGATGGAATTTTTTGGAGTGGAATTTTTATAGATTTATACACAGTATATTTATAGCCTTGTAATCGTGTCTATTTTTGGTTACAGCAATTATACTCAATGGGAAAACCCAATACGTGACAGGTTCAGAACACGATTATGCGTGCAGTTGAGCAGACGCATAATTTCCGTTTAAAAATATCTAATGCCATACGAGCAGGCTGGGAACTCTACTAAAATAGAAGAATTTGTATTCGAGTGTGTATCTGTAGATTTTCACGCAAATTATGTTAATGAGGTGCTACTTACGTAGTGGCGCGACTCGTCAAATCGGCTTAATTTAAAAGAAGATCGATTGTCTCTTCAAGAAATTGATGTTTACCGGTTTACGTTTCTTAATCCAATATTCGTGTGAATTGTTTTGTGAGGGGGAAAAAAGCCGCGTCAGTTTTGGACAACCCACTCACAAGAAGTTGAATATTTTTTACGCCCAATCCTAGTGAAGTATTTACGATTAGAAGAGGACCACGCCTTTTGACGATTCCTATACACCCTTCCGCTTTCATGAGTGAGATGTTGAATTTTAAGACTAAAAATAGAACTGGATAGCTCTGTCATTTCTAAACTGTTCTTCTTAGAGATCCGGTAAGGATCATCTCTTATTGATCCAGTGTTACTACAGGAGGAAACCTAAACTAAGTTATTTATACTGGATAGCTCTACCAGTTCTAAACTGTTCTCCCTAGAGGTCCGGTAAGAATCATCTCTTATTGATCCAGTGTTACTACAGGAGGAAACCTAAACTAAACTAACTTTATTTATACTGGATAGCTCTATCAGTTCTAAACTGTTCTCCCTAGAGGTCCGGTAAGAATCATCTCTTATTGATCCAGTGTTACTACAGGAGGAAACCTAAACTAAACGAACTTTTCTGAAGAAGAAAGGGAATCGATTTTGGTCTGGTGTTAATCAACACTGTGATACAACCAGAACACCACAACTACGCGCACATTTTTTTAAACGAAAGAAAAAATAAGCAATGTATTTTACGACAAACTCGCATACAAAGCACTAATTTACAAGTTGTATATTGTGAAAACTATTTGAGCAGTAAACCTTTACACGTACACATGAATGTATTAAATGTTAGATAGCAAATAGCAGAGGGTCTCATATTACACAGATTTAGATCGAGAACGCAGACGTCAAAGACGACGTGAAAATGGCGTCAAAATGCATGGCGTGGCATATCCATACATGGGCACAACACGCCATTTCCACGTCGTCTTTGACGTCCGCGATCTAAATATTATGTCTATTGGTTAGCCTGTGTTACCAGCATTTGCTCATATTTTGATTGACCAGATATTTTAGATTATTCTTGGGTTCCATTTGACGTCACGCCTACTCAAGTGGGGGCCAAGGGTCTGTGTCAAGGGTAAAGGATGGCTTTTATATTGTTTACATTGTTTTATATTGACTTTTATAATAGTCGGAGAACTCATTAACATAAGATGCGTTGACAGCCATTTTGTTTCTTTGTTGTTTTAGATAACCTCAGTTCAATGATTGACCCCCACTTGAGTAAAATTATGCTAAACATGCATCCAAATAGCTTCATAAGCCTTCATTGTCTTGAACCTACTTCGACGCATGTTTATTGCATAGGATGAGCAGTTGCCATGGCTTTGCCACTGCTGAGAAACGATGAAACAATAGACCCATTGCACATGACGTCACAGCGCCGGTGCGTCTGGGGGACAGATTAGCAATCTATGCACAATATAACTTTTGTAAACAAAGCAAATTTTGGAAAACTTTATAATAATTTTGTATTCAAATGGTTAATGTTTGCGCTGTATGTGGTTGTTGTACCCGAACAGATATTGTTAGGGAGCATCTGGAGGACACTCTAAGGATTTGTGACGTCAGTGCAATGGGTCTATAGTCTTGGAGTAACTGACATCTTACTAAAAGAAATATTACTGACAGCTGAGTTCCAAAGACCCACAATTAAGTCGTCCACCTAATCTTAAATATAACTAGCTATACATAGAAGTTAGATCTAAATTGTAGACTGTCTGACATTCAGTTCACTGCAACACAAGTTAATGAAACCACCGCCCGGCTCTTGGGTGGACACCCAAGCGGAAGTCACACTCCTTGTTCGGGCGCCATAGTCGCTTCCGTTTCCGGTTTTCGGTCTATTTCTACATCCGGTGCTCTCTCTTCTTTATTGGCGAGTGCGTTGGACTTGGATCCGGAGCGAGAACGCGATCTTTCTTGACGTCGTTCACGGCTTCTGCTTCGCTTCCTTTCCCGACTTCGGCTACGACGTCGGTCACGACTGCGGCTGCGACTTCTGCGACGATCCCTAGCGAAATAAAGGAAGAGTTGTCGTTGAAGCGAATTATTAAGCTAACTTTATTTTTTGCAGTATGCAGTCCATGGCCGGATTTTGAGGGGAGGTGTGGGGAGGCGCGCACCTCCCCTGAGATCGTTTTGCACCTCTCCTGAGAATTTTTGCACCTCCCCTGAAAAGTCATGCACCTCCCCTTGGGAAACTTTCAATGATGGATCAAAGTGAAAATTTGACATTTTTTGGTTGCTTAGGCTCCAGAGCTTAGGCTCTACACTTCGTAAGAAAGTTTTTTCTGTAAAATTGAAACAATGATAGCCATTCATCTCTGTGTCAAGTACCCTTTCAATGCAATGTTTTGAAATAAACTTTGTAGTAATTGTAATGAAGGGCAAAATTGTATGAGTTGTACAGTCATAATTCATTAATACACTGATACACATGTACACCACATGCATACGTCACGTCGTTGACAAACCTTCTTGATCTGTCGCGATCCCTACGATCATCTCTACCGCCACGATCATCTCTTCCACGGTCTCTGTCGCGATTTCTGTCACGATCTCTGTCTCGACTGCGGTCGCGTCTGCGATCCCTACAAAACAACAGAACGTTCAACTAGGCCAAAAAAAATATGTGGGTTTCTGGTTTCCCGACCCTACCTAGCTTTTGGACGTCGAAATCCCGAAAATTTTTTATTGAATTATGCTTGTAAGTGTTTCCACTTGGAGGAAACGTTTGTGGAAAATTGAAATTTGAGGAAATATTAGGGAAATTTATCTTTGGATGTGGAAGCACTAACTAAAAAAATGGCGTCCGGTTGTTAGGAAAATTAATTAAAAAAAAGTTAAAAAAAAATTAAAACCGACCTATATTTAAAACCGACCTACCCTACGTAAGTTTTTATAAGAAGAAATGGGAAATCCACATTTTTTTGGCCCTATTAATTATTTTGTCAAGCACCAGTGAACCTCTTTCAACACTGTACACTCCAAGGAGTTGAATCCATTTCCAATCTCTTAGTATTATCTACAAGTACAGGCGTACCCAATCTCGTACCCAGGCTATTTTCTCTCACATTCTGGTACCACCCATTGAACTATAAATAAACTGGAAGGCTAACTCAGGGGGGGAAATTGAAGCCAGTGTATTTTAGTTTTTCTGAGTTATGAGCAGAAATACTCAACACTGAACGTTGGGCTATATATCAAATTGAAGCTATTGAAAAACGCTATTTGGTGTAGAAATTTCAAGATTTTAGCTAAAAGGGAAATATTGAAAAATTACAAACATAATTACCGATAATTTGCCGTTTTGCAGTTGTTTTTGTATTTTTTAAAGATTTTTCTTTTCGCTGAAGTCTTGAAATTTCCACACAATTTTCAATAGCTTCAATTTGATATATAGCCCGACGTTTGGGGTCAAGTATTTCTGCTCATAACTCAGAAAAACTATTTTGGCTTCATCAAATCATAGGCCTTCATCATAGCAGTTAGCCTTCCAGTTTATTTATAGTTCAATGGTACCACCTGGCGTACCAAGGATAGTCGTGGATATTTACCTGTCGCCATTTCGTTCTTTCTTTCTTCTCTCTTCCAGTTCTTTCTCTCTTTCATCTCGTCTTCTCACCCTCTCTTGTTCTCTTTCCTCCCGTTTCTTTGACACCTCGTCCTACACACAAGACAAAAAAGTTTTTATGATCCAGTGATCAGAATGTTCCATTGTCTTTTCATTATTTTGAAAATCCCACGGTTCTCCATGCCATCCAGTCATGATCCAGTGATCAGAATGTTCCGTTGTTTTTTCATTGTTTTAAAAATCTCACTGTTCTCCATGTCATCCAGTCATGATCCAGCGATCAGAATGTTCCACTGTCTTTTCATTGTTTTAAAAATCTCACTGTTCTCCATGTCATCCAGTCATGATCCAGTGATCAGAATGTTCCATTGTCTTTTCATTGTTTGGAAAATCCTACTGTTCTCCATGTCATCCAGTCATGATCCAGTGATCAGACTGTTCCATTGTCTTTTCATTGTTTGGAAAATCCCACTGTTCTCCATGTCATCCAGTCATGATCCAGTGATCAGAATGTTCCACTGTCTTTTCATTGTTTTAAAAATCTCACTGTTCTCCATGTCATCCAGTCATGATCCAGTGATCAGAATGTTCCATTGTCTTTTCATTGTTTGGAAAATCCTACTGTTCTCCATGTCATCCAGTCATGATCCAGTGATCAGACTGTTCCATTGTCTTTTCATTGTTTGGAAAATCCCACTGTTCTCCATGTCATCCAGTCATGATCCAGTGATCAGAATGTTCCATTGTCTTTTCATTGTTTGGAAAATCCTACTGTTCTCCATGTCATCCAGTCATGATCCAGAGATCAGAGATGTTCTCCATACCTAAAGGAAGACTTTAATTAATAAGTTCATAAAATATTCTATGAAATAATTGCGTACTTCGAGTTCTTTCAATCTGTCACGTATTTTTATAAATCCCATATGAAGTTTACCACCAAAATGATCAGCCAATCTGAAACAGAGAACAAATAATATTAAATATCTTAAGTGAAGAGAATTAAACAATTCTGCTGATTATTGCAATGCCCAAATGAAGCTAGGCATCGCTTTGTACAGCCTGCTCCCAGCCCGAATTGGAAACAAATTGAGGCTTTTGTATCCCAGCCCGATTTAGAAACAAGCTGCGCTTTATATTCGGTACGTCAGTTTGTTCAGAACTCATAAAAGCGCTATTACACTAAGTAACTTGTCACGCAATGTTAAGAAAAATATTTCAGCATCGCATTGCAAGGGATGTTACACCAAGCAATAGACATATTTAGATCGAGGACGCGGACGTCAAAGACGACGTGAAAATGGCGTGTTGTGCCAATGTATGGACACAGAATAGATACAGAACCAGAAGTGTCACTCACTGATATTTTGTCCGAGTGCTGACGTGAAAATACGGCATCATATGACGCCATCCTGGAGTGCACACGGAAGTTTTTCATAGGAAAACATAGGTACAAAGTGCCGTGTGCACTCCAGGATGGCGTCATAGCACGTAAAAAAATTTCGGACGTTTTCCTTCAGCCAAAACACATAGGAGTGTCCCTTCTGGTCCGGTATCTATTCTGTGGTATGGATATGCCACGCCATTTTCACGTCGTCTTTGACGTCCGCGTCCTCGATCTTAATCTGTCTAATACGTTCCATGCAACTTGCAATCATTATTAAAAATAGTATAAAAACCGCGAGTTCTAACGTTTGGCGCCAGTGTATAAACATTGCGAGACTATAGTTGCATTTTTGCAAGAGGGATGCTACACTGTGCAATGCTTTAAAAATGAGTTGTAGCGTTGCCGCAATCGTTGCAAAAAGTAGAACCTGATTTTATTTCGTGCAGTGGTTGTTGCAACAAAAATATCGCGAGACTTGTTGATTGTCTTGATTGCGAGGCATGATACACCTTGCAATTTCGCGTGCAACCAGTGTCGCAACAAAATTGCGAGACAAATTACATAGTGTAACAGCACCTTAAGTGTTGGTAGTTGTATTGAAAAAGTAGTATGTCCCCGCGCTTGTGATGCAATTGCTTGAAGCCTGGTTCACATTGATCGTAAACATCGGCGATGCCCATTGTCGGTGGTCAGTGATGCATAAAATGTTTTGTGCATTTTCTTCTTCGTTGCTCACAGACAATGGATTGTAGAAGATCGCCGATCAATGTGAACCAGGCTTAAGCCGCCAACCTGCTGTTTTTCGCATGCTCCAGGGCAGCGCATTGCACTACTATCTGTGGTTTAACAGATAATGTTTAGCATGTTAGACTAATTTCTGATCTAGGCGAAAAAAGCAAATTCCCGTGAAGAACTTATTAAAATTAGGAAAATTGCAAAATTTGGTTACGAAATGTTGTAAAATACGGAAAATGTAGCGTATGTATGCATATTTTGTATATGTTTGTGTTACGTGCGGAAATCGTTACCATTTTTGAGCCGAAAATGGTAACATTTTCCGCACGTAATACAAACATATACAAAATTTGCAAGACTATATTTTCAAGCTTTACAACATTTTGCAACCAAATTTTGCAATTTTACTAATTTCATTATGTTCTTTTTAGCTGTAGTGCTTGATTCCCTCAAGTTGTTCATTCAGCATCCAGTATTGCCCTACCTTCGATCATTATCATAAAGGCTCAGATAGGCAGCACACACTTCACACACTCTTAACTTTTGTTGCTGTAAAGATGATGATGGCAGCGTATCGCGATACACCTCCTAGATAAATGATCATATGACAATCAATAATTATTGGATCAGAGATAATGATTAACTGATGCAAGAAGTTACCTCAGCAACTCTCTTCTGACTCTTCAGTTCTTCAACCTCAGCCATGGCTTTTAGAGACTCATCAACCTTCCCTTCTGCACCTGTAGGCCAAGTGAAAAAATGTGAAGTACCGTTTAAAACATGAGCCGCAGTGTTTGACACTCAAGAGAAGCTCAGATTGAACCTCCACTCATTGAGTGTGAGTGAGCTTTGACAATACAGGCATTAGTCAGTTCCCTCAAAACATTTCTTACAAATCCTTCAAAATTTAAAACATAAACAAGGGGGAAATATTAAATAACCTACCCAGGACCTCTGCCTCGGCAAGTTTTTTACCAATTTTTTCTCCCAAGTCGTGGACTGCTTGAGCCTAAAATATAAGATATATACAGTATAGATTATGATAGCTGAAAAATACCTGCCTGAAAAACACAAGCTACTTGAGATAAATTATGATAGACTGCTAGTCTTTCAGGGTTCCCAATAGCTTCGGCAATCGCTGGCTATTTCTCCAAATTATAAATCAAAAGACCAAGAAATGTCAAGAGAAAGGCTTTTTGCTTTTATACTGTAACACAAACTTTACACAATATTCTTTGCTAAATCTTTGGATATGACAAAATCAACAAAACGACTGGAAATTCCATTTCACATGGTCTAAATTTCAAAATCTTCACCGGAAGACACTCTTGAACCCTCCTTGGTGAAGTACCTTCTGCATCATATAGCCACATACTTCTTTCAAAAAACCTCCTCCAAAGTCTATCGAGAACCCTTGTCTTTGGAATATAAATCGTTACCCACTTCAGCATGTGGAGAGAACTTATTTTCAGCATTTACCTCAGGAGTGCTTCCGAAGTCATCTTGTGTTTCAGCCAGACGTTTCTTGGCCAAGACAATCTTTCGATCACACTCTTTGATGAACGCTTGCAAGTGTTCCATTTGCTACACAATTACGGTTAATATACTGTGTTATACTAAAGGAATATATTGATTTACATGTAATGATTGTTTTTTTAGTAATATCTTACATCCAATTCGTATCCATAACTGCGAGACTTGGCTGCGGCCTCGTAATCAGCTTTCAACGCAGCAGAATGAACCTTGCGACAATCACCAATGTCCATTTTCTAAGGGAAGAGAGAAATTTTGTTGAACCCAGCGAAAAGTGACCAACTACTTTGGGCAAATATTTTCCATTTTGACCAACCTAAAAACTATTGCCCCCCTCAGTAGTGATGTCCCTGAAAGTGTTGGTCCAACATACTAACCGTGTTATTAAACAGTGCATGAGGACAGAGTCCCATGATAAAACTCTTGCAAACTTTGTCATCTGAAAACTTTATGTCATCTGCTGGTGGTTCACCTTGAAAAAGACGACGTCATGTTACATTTGGAATGATGCAACATTAAACAAACCTACATGTAAGTAATTCTCTATTTGAAATACTTGGTTTTTACAGTAGTAGATTAATTTTTTTGGAAATATCTCTTTCATGAAAGAATGGCCATGCTATAGGACTATATGTTACCAATATGTTAAAGTACATTGATGATGATTTTTGAGTAAAAACGACTGTGTACATAATGAAGACTTTACTAAGGGCAATCGCAAAATTTGAATTTATATGCCCTCCCATAAAAATCAAACATATGGCACTGCAATATGTGTGCAGTACCAAAATTGTGGGCTTGATATACTGTAGGAGGGCTTAAAATTGCTTTTTGCAACTGCTGAAATAGGTTTTGTCAAGGAAGGCACTAAACATTTTGAAATAAGATAAAGTAGGTTATTAGGATATCTAAATCACTTATTTTTCACAAAACACATTTCCTTATAAATAAGGAAGAAATTTTAGGCAATCTTTGATCCAATGTTTATCCTCTTGCTCTCTGAAAAGAATTTCTGATCATCAAACACGTCCTTCAAACAGGACCTTCAAATTAATCCTGTACCATAATTATGACACTTTATTTTGCAAAAACTCACCCATTCGTAACGATCATCTACATGTAATAATTCTGATTAATTCACCAATCTTGAAGTTATTGTTAACCCTTAAGCATTACTCAATATAGTTTGGTTATTATCCAAGCTTCAAATACAGAATACGGTGATAACGATTAAGAAACATGGTTGCAACTTTTGTTACTTACGTAAAACCTACTTACGCGTCCTGTTGCTTGAATGGTAAATACAACAAATGGTCAAGTTTTACAATGAGGTTGATAATTCTGCCATTCTTTAGAAAAGCATCAAACAGTTTGGCGTTAAAGAAAGCCCAGGAGTTCATAGCGATGAGCCGATTATATGGTAATAATATGATTAACTTACAATAAAATATTGACTACCTTATTCGTACTTACTTTTGTGCGACTTTAATTTTGCGACTTTCACGATTGTAAATCATTTAGTAATAGTCTCAGTATTAAGCTACAGTTTGCATTTTGTCTTGTTACCGGCAATAAAGATGAGTAAAAATATTGCCGACTACCTTGTACACTGTCAGACTTTCGAAAGTTGTAGTTCAGATTTGTATAGACAATAAAATGTTTATTCCAAAACCTTTGGTGGAATTTAAATTAATGCACTTTTTCTATTTTCGCCTATCAAAATCACGAAAATAAAGTCTCGGGAAATAATGCATCTGAAAAATCGCAAAATTAAGTATGTCTGAAATTAAGTGCGAATAAGGTATTTTTATGTACAATGTGCAACAATGAGCAATTATAAAACCAATGGGCATGGTCTAGTTTGATTGAATTGACGTAGCTAGTCGACACCTTTGATCGCCTCATTTCTGTGCAGAAATTGAATTAAAGTGGATATCAGTGATGCTTCAGTGGATTTTCTAGTAAATAAATGAGTTGCCGCTGTATGTGGGAATATGAAGCAACTGAGCATGTGCAGTAGTTATCCCTGAGGCATCTGTAGTTTTTTTACAGCCCACAATCTTTAGACATCATTTCAGGCAACAAATACATATTTTTCATTTCTGCCATTATAATTTAACCCTTTTGGCACGGCATTGGGGACCTTACAGAAGGCTGACTTCTCGGTTTTGCCTATGATTTTGGCGGAACCATTGCAATGCTGTCACCATGTTACTAGCTGGTGTGCTTATGAGAGACATTCACCCCCCTGAAAATATTCAAAATGGTGGATGTTCAGGGGGGTGAATGCCTTTCATAAGTGCACTGGCTAGACGAATCATGGGTGGTTACTTATTTTTGGGACCAGCTCATGATTATGAATCCTGGATTGTGTATATTTGTAACAATTTGAAAAATTTCTGCGTGATTCATAGAATACCAAAGTAGTTTATTATGTCATCAGATAACATCAACATGTAAATAGCATCTTTTGTGCATGTGTTTAGGTCTGAATATTTAATATTATTAGGTTGGCAATTTTTGGTTTAAAATATACTTTTGTGCCTCATTTGTTTATGCTAAATTTGTAAAAATGTACTCATTAATCCAGAAGGAATCTCTCTCCTCTGTTTTTCTAACTTTGTATTCCCCAGGGACACGTGTATTTTCATAGAAATATTCAAAGTTTCAACAGCCGAAGCATATGGAAAATGTATAGTTAAAATGCGATTTTTTGGCGCGATTTAAACTTACCATCACGGCTTGTTCCCATTAATTCATCCAAAATCTTTTTCATCTGCTCTTGGGCGGTCATTTTTGCGAAGAAAACGTTTTAATTTTGAGAAATTTTCAACAAAAATAAATAAAATTTCTCACAAAAGCCTAAAACCACTCTAAAACCCTTGAGTGTGCGAGGACAACTCGCGTGACCTCATCTTCGGCTTCTGTCGTCACACCCCGGTGATTTAGTGAAGGTCATTTTTTGTAAAACGTGCAACAATTTTGTGGTTTTTACCTTGCATTTTCTTTCTTGCAATAGTTTTAAGGCCTATTCGGAAGTGAACATTTTGTAGGACGATGTTTTGTTGTATTTGCGCGCGAATTTTATAATCTGAAACTCATTTCTACATCGGTGATCTACGAAAGCACGAAGTGAAGTCGAATATTGCCGAGCGTTTCGTCTTCCAAAACAAGCAGGGTTGAAGGATTTATAGGGTATCCTTAGGAACAGGAATTTTGATAGTTTTTAAACTCTATTAAATTTGTTCAATATTTAGAGGATATTTTGAAGGGATTTAAAAGATTCCAAGAAGAGCTAGTATTTTAATACGATTTTTGTGCAAAATTCAATTTTCAAGTCGACAAAAAATTATGTGACTTGGATCATTACTGAAAGGAATTTTTGGGAAAACTGAGGAATTTCAGAGGTCTTGAGAAGGAATTCTCTAGACGGTGAGTGCTAGCCTTGCCAATTCGGCTAACATGGCGACGTGATGAGATAAAAACGTTGTTGAATTACTACGATTTTTTCGCCGAAATCAAGCAAAATGGATGGGGAAGAAAGGCTAAACGGTACCAGTAGCTGGGAGGAACAATGCGTAGATGCTGCTGAATGTGAATTGAACGCTTTAGAGGAAAAATTAGCCGCCGAAAGAGACGAAAATTCGCAACGAATTTGGTTGTCGTTTCAAAACGCAGCAAACGCCGTAGCTCAGCTATTTCGAGGTTTGTTTACTTCTATTTTAAATACAAGAAACTATTTAAGTCGTCCCTTAAAAGCAACAGGGTTTCTTTGCATTATTTTTGGGTTTAAAATATGCTTTTTGTCTTTTTTTAGAACGTGGTGATGTTTTTCATGGTTCTTCCCTGTGGGCACCTTTTCAAGACACCGCCAATTTGGTGACAGTTCTTTACAAAGGTAGTATTCATTTAATGATTTCTGTTGTTAAATGGCAAGGGAAGATCAATTCAAAATATGTAACCATACTATATCTTTGTGTTAGGAATAAAATACTGTTGTTTTAACCATTTTATTGTTTGAAAATTTTGACAAAAGATTTTATTGGTGAGGTATAACAGTACGACTGTTGGCCAGTCCTAAATGTGTTTTACTTTGCAGATAGCATTGATACGAACAAAAGAAACTTCGATGCCGGCTACCAGGTCGGTCACAAGAAACGTAACCGTGAAGTAATCGCTTGGGCGAAAAAGAAAAAACGATCGATCAAACGTGATGAACTTTTATCTTATCTAAGTGGAAAATCACCGCCTCGTTACCAAAGATGCGATTCAGTTGAAGACAGATCCTCTGAAGATATGGGCATGCAATGTGCTAATGCATATAGCACCCTACATAATCCTCTATTACCACCTGTTGTACCTACAGTTGGGTTTACCAGTTGGAACAGACGAAGGAACTCTCGGACTGATACCTTTGACGACGATATAGAAAGTTGTGAAATTTTTCGAGAAACTCGCAAACGATCGCTATCAAGTCAGGATGTCGTTATGGACTCGTCTTTGCACAAAAAGTGTAAATTCCTTTAGCAATGCTGAAATTTGATAAAATTTGATTGCAAATGTATTATAGTTCCCAAAATTGAACTACTATGGCAAAGAAATATAAAATATATTTTGGAATATGTAGACAAGTTCTGGAGAAAAAAACATAGCATGTTTGTTGAAATTGTGTGACTTGAAAACCGAGTTTTGTTGCTTTCTATAAACACCCAAAACATTAGGACTATATTGTTGTTTTGTGTGACAGCGACTTAAATGTAAATGGACATGTGGAAGTCATAGTTTGTTTTATAATCCTGTTCTGTTGTATATTTTCCCAATAGAGTTTGTATCAGCAATATTGTCTAGTATTTGTAAAAAAATGATTAAAATGTCTACAAGCATTGGGTAGGATCTATGTAAATTGTTTTTTTTTGCTTTGAAGAAAGTTATTATACTGGCAAAAAAAAGCTTGTATATAAATACAGAACAAAAATAGGTAAACCCTTATATTAGAAAATTGGAATTGAAAATTGGAACTGGTACACTCCAGTGGCAGACACTTCACAAAATATTGGGGCGGGGGCAAAATGTTTAACATGCATGCCGAAGGGTATGTGAATCTTTCAGAACAGGGTTGCTTGATGAAATGAATAGAGTCCTGAGTTGTGCCATTTGACTGACAGAGCATCATTGGCATGCATTGTACAGAATCGTATATTGCTTGCAACGTTACTAACTTTAGCTTAAGTTTTATTTAATAGTCATTATTTAATATGACAATTATGTAATATGGGTGTGATTGCATGCTTGCCACTTGGGTAATCGTTCCATGTTTCGCGCACCAATATAGTAAACGTTATGTAATGGATATTATAGTGTACTGAAAAGTTAACTGGATACCTCCATATACATATATACACACTCTAACCCTAACCTAACCCCTAACTTATATTGGTGCGCGAAACATGGAACGATAACCGCCACTTGCTCCTAAACAATGATTGTGATATTTGGTACCAGACTTTTATAGGCCTTTCAAAATTATAGTTTATGCATGAGATAGGACAGCTATACATATATGTCATGTTCCATATACTAAGAAGCTCGTTCAGTTGCAAAATTTGGTGTCATGCATACAGAGTTGAGTGTTATAAAAAAAGTGTGTTATGGTGAGTGTCCACCACTTACTACCTGTAATGGACCTTACAGTTAGATATCCTAAAATCAGACAATATTGCACAAAATTAGTTATTTAATTTGATACCTCCACTGGTTTGTTTTTCAAGCTTCTGTTAACAATCTGCCATATTTTCATGACCATGCTTTACCAACCAACATCACCAGTAACGTGCATTGTTACTGTAATGTACATTACTACAACATCACCAGTAACATGCATTGTAAAACAATTACATTGCCACCACAAGCCCCAAAATGGCAGCCTGTATAGCGTTAGAGTTCAGAAGACTATTGTCACTCTATTTCAACAGTTCCTCCCACCGCCTCAAGCAGAGTCTTCAGTTTGTCTGCATCTTCTTTGCTGATATTTTCTTTTAGAACTTGTGGAACACTTTCTACAAATTTCTTTGCCTAAAAAATTAAAGTTCTTTAGTGTGACTATTGTGTGACTCTTGACTGTTTGAGCAATTATAGTCAGTTGAATAAAAGATTTTTGCCACCCAAAATGGTGGATTACATTTGACGATACATCACACTGCAATTAAGACCTGAATTGCCTCTGTTTTCTCAAGAAATAAAATTTTATTTTGTATACCTGAACAAGATTCATTCCTTCTATAATACTCTTTATTTCTTTGATAAGCTTCACTTTTCCACCAGCATCAAATGCAGTTAGTTTTACTGTGAACTCAGTCTGTTCTTCTTTTTCCTCCTCAGCCGCCTCACTCTGAGAGAACAAACAAATGAACAGTTTCACTTAAAGCCTGCCGCACACAAGAGAAACTTGTGTGGCAGTTAGCTCAGCTATACATTTTCACCACACATGTTGGAAAAACTACTCGAGAGCATCGTCATTGATAAGATCATTCCCTCCATTATTGCCATTTTGACAAAAGTCACATGAAGAAACTATGGGTTCTCATTGGCTAGTTAATTCAAGTGCTCTCAGCACAAAGCTCCACCATCTGCTGACATTGAGATTTTTTCCTCACAAGGTGAAAAATATCAAACACAATATTTTCCTCAAGAGGTTAAATCCTCAGGAAAACTATAAAGAAACATGCCAAGCTAGCCGCCAGCTCGGCAAGTTTATTTTGTGTGTGGCAGGCTTAACTTTGTTTATATGAATGAATTACTAGGCTGATTGAGAAATTAATGTTACTTCTTTTCATTTATATGTGCAGTGACCTTGTGTGTTGACTAGAGCCAACACAATGGTATTTTTCTAAAACAACACTCACCTGTTCAGTGGCTTGAGCCATTGGCATAGCACCCATTGCCATCATAGGGGCGTCAGGAATTTTTAATTTTGCCTAAAACATTTTTAGAATATAAATTATATATTTCTTCATGGAGTTCCATGGGTAGTTTCAGACACAGCCATGGGGCATGATTTAGAGTACTGTGAGTACCTTTAAAAGTTCATTAAGTTCTGCAGTTTCGACAAGCGTTAGCTGTGAGATTTGATTCACTATATTCACAATATGTTCAGGGTAGTGCTTCTCTGTCAAGCTTGTGTCAAATTCGGGTTCTTGCTGGGCTGGAATGGCACTCAGATGTCTCACTCGTGACCATCGAACACACTGCCTTGCTAGAATTCTTTACAACAGAACAAAAAAGGCATCATTGATATAATACCGAATCGAGGGAAAGTGACACTAAGAGTAAGACTGCCTCTCATGTAAACAAGTCCCAAATGAGCACAAATTATACCATATTTAGAAGAAAATCACGAATATATAAAATACCTTGAAAATGCGATGCCTCGAACAGCCGCCATCTTGACAGTTTTATCCATCAGATTTTTGGTCGGCACTAGATCATAGACAAGATACGCACATATCTGAAACTGCAATACATACGAGTCAGCGGTATTCAATATTTAAAATTCAAATAAATTTAGTGCGCGAAATTGGGAAAAACGCGCGAAACCAAAGCAATATGGCTTCCATCGAAGAGTATAGCGATAGTGACCGGGTGCTTGTTTGCGCTTCACAAGCAGAAATGCTTGAGAAATTTGAAGAGTACAAAATAAAAACAAGTAGTGGTTGGAGATGTATCAAATTAAACGCACTTTTTGGTACGTGAACTAATTTCAATATGTAAATTTGTCTTATAAATATTCATACGAATACCGTGTGTGCAATATTTATGAAAGATCCAAATTATGCATACATAAAACCTTTATCGATTTACTGCAGTACTACACTCATATAATAATATAGTATGTCTTTATAAAGGTGGAAAGATGCATGTGCTTTAGAATTATATAGTAAAACTCACTGGATAAAAACCTTTCATAAGGGACCACTCATTAATAATGGGAAGAGGGAGGGGGGCGGTGGGTGATAGATACCAAATACTGAACATTTTAGAGCCGCCCCAATCGCAAGACCTTTATTTTCAAGATGCCCCCACCTTAATTTAGGACCCCCCTCCAACATTTAATATTTGTTACTTAGTTGGTGTAAAATAGGTAATGGGACAAGTACTGGTGTTAAGATATTGTGTAGCCTAAATAATAAGAGGACCAGTATTCAAAATGGTTGTTATTTACTCTGACTCCTATCGTGAACTGTATATACGTAATAAACTATGGAAACTACGATTATAGGAACTAAAAAAGGTGGGATATTTTGTGGGATACGATAAAGGCAAGAGATTGAAAATGAGTAGGAAAGTATTAAAAATTTGGGGTCACCCCTTGTCACATATTTTGAGGACACCCCCAATTCAGGCAAAAATAGTTGAAGCTGCCCCCCTCTTCTCACCCACCGCCCCCTCAGTGGCGTAACGCTCACTAGGTAGGGTTAGTTCAAAAACTAAGGGCCCCCGACAGTTAGGGCCACCCATCAGCCACGGCCTATCACCCAGAAAATTAGACTGAAAACGTAAAAAATGCAGGTAATTACGAATTGATGGAAAAATACAAAATTAATAATTAATTAATGCTAAATAATAAACCCTCCATCGACGACGGTATTCCATCTCAAATAGAACAAAAGGTATTCTTAAAAGTTGTTACATGTGTTGGAGACTGTTATTATCATTGTTATAGACACAGAATTTTCCATATTCTACTGATAAATATTCAATTTAAATTTTAGATCTCAGTCAAACAATAACAGTCAACAGGACCCCCACACCAAATATGCCTAAGGGCCCTTCTTCCTCCGTTACGCCACTGGCCCCCCTCCCATTATTAATGACCGGTGGTCCCTAATCATTCATTATATACATTTCATACAATTTCATATTAATATATACATGACTGGTTTTTCAAGATACATCAATAAAACCCGATAAACAGAAAGTCAGAAACAAGTGCTAACACTACAAATAAATGGTAGAAATACACAATGGAAAAAGGCTTTCATTCAACTATCTGCCAGTATGATATTCACATGCCTACTATATGATGTTAAAATGTATCATCTTAGGCCCTGTTTACATGAGCCATGTAGGCTAGCCTGCCTTGCCAGAATAGAAATTGTTATCATATGAGTCAGGATCTTGGCTAACCAAGAAACTGAAGACAAGCCTGGCTAACTAGGCCAGCTTGAGTCATCTAATGTCCATTTTATGTACTACATATGCATAATCAATTCATAGTCTGCTATAGCACAACATATTTCAATAATTATTAACCCAATAATTATTAACCCAACAATTTCTAACAATTATTTTATTAATTGACAACAATTATTTTATTGAAATATTGATTATTTTAACAATTATTTTATTAATAACAATTATTTTATTAAAATATTGATTCTCTTCATTGCTGAAATCTAACATTGATCATGTGGCAGTCCCACTTTATGCTTTGTTGCAGGCAAAGAAGCATCCAACTAGCCTTTGACACCCTAGTCTGTTTTTAATGTTGTTAATATTAACTCATTAACTGACAATGTGAATGTGCCCAAATGTGCCCTACTTAGTATTTACTCTGTCTAATGCCAGACGATTAATTACTCGTCAGTGGTAGAGTACTGCCAGTAAATGGGTTAAAGTGAATGTTAAATATGAATCAAGTTGAAATCGGTTGTAATAACCAACTGATTCATTAACCCATTAAGTTGCAAGACTCCACTTGATGAGTAAAATGATCTAGCGTTAGACAGAGTAAAGATTTATTGTGTTATCTGCCACTGTTGGAAGATCTTTTCCTTGAACATTTTACTAAAGATTTACTGTGTCATCTGCTGCTGTTGGAAGTTTCTTTTCCTTGAACATTTTACTAAAGATTTGCTGTGTCATCTGCTGCTGTTGGAAGATCCTTTTCCTTGAACATTTTACTAAAAATTTACTGTGTTATTGTGCATAATTTCTAGTAAAATATAAGAAAAATTCAAATGTTGTATTTCCAAAAATATGCACTCAGACTTTGTGGACCCAGGGGGAGGGACAGCTTAATCAAGGCATACAAAAGTTAGATGTACGCAGGGACGAAACTTGATGGGGGGGGGGGTATGGGGTGTAGTGATGTCATAGACTTGAGTGATAGATATAGTCATGTGACCGGAGAGCACATGGAATCATTAGGATTAGTATTTTGTAGCGTGCAGTTGATATTAGAAATAAACTATGTAAAAGAGAATACAAATATTATATGGGGGAGTGTGACACCCCCCAAAGTACGAATCATCTGGATTGGCAGGGCGAATCATCTGGATTGGCAGGGCAATCAAAGATTCTAAATGATAGAATGTAGAGTTATTAAGTAACTTACAGGGATTTATAGACCCACATTTTACAGATACTGGTCCAAAAATAAGGGTTTCACGCATGTTTTAAAAGGAATTTGTATGGAAAAAAATTTTTGACCCTTAATTTGACTGGTTTATGTCCGGAAAAATTTTTTCAACCTATCTCCCCCACCCCGGCTCGCCAACATTTTTGGGAAAAATAGTGGCCCCAAAAAAATTTGCTGCAGGGCATCATCGGCTTTTGCAGGGAAATTCTAGCAGATACCCCTTAATTAAAATGGGCTAGTTTCGCCCCTGGATGTACGGGGGGGGGGGGCAACATTTTCTGAGAGGGGTCCCCCCAGCTCTGGCCAGGTTACTGTATAGTATTCCCTAAAGCAATAAAATATTAATATTTCTAACTAATAATTATTACTAATTATTAGTAAATATTTATTATTTATGTTGCTCTAATAGTCAATTAGCCAAGCCGGACTACATGATTCAAATCCTAATGGGCCAATTGCAAAAGGCAGATTAAAAGAGTGACTAACAGACTAAACAGTGATGCGACCATAGTTGGGTTTCAATCTGAATCATGTGACACTTTAGCGCACTTGGTGGTCAACTCCAAAAGGAAACACAGTTATTGAATTGAATTCATTATTCATAATTCATTATATTAATTCACCTTGTATTCAATAATCAATAGCAAATACAGAACATTTAACAAAATTTGCTCGCTTCCACAAGGCATATATAAAAGCGACAAACGTGCAAAGTTGACCACCATGTGTTTTCCTATGAATATGTCACTATTATTAAATACTATGCCACATGTGGGCTATATTTTTCCCTTGGAAAATTCCCTTTAAAATGATTTTTAAATTAACCCCAAATAGGTAATAAAAGTAAATATATATTTCGCTTTACACATACCTATTTATCGATATAACAATCTTTAAATCTCCATTTGTAATGATTTGTTTATTTGTAATGCATCATTTGTAAATGTAATGATGTCTTTATTGCGTTTATATAAAGTTTACTGCACTTGAAATACCGCTGACTCGTATGTATTGCAGTTTCAGATATGTGCGTATCTTGTCTATGATCTAGTGCCGACCAGCTTCAACATTTTAAAATATTATCAACACGAACGATCACGTGACTATGGCTTGGCGGGAATTTGTAAAATATCCCTAATTCACCCCCAGTCTGCATTTTATCCTCAGTCTGCATTTTATACCCCCAGTCTGCATTTTGTACCCAGTCCGGTCACAGGCGGCCCAATCTCGGAATGAATGATCAGGTGTTGCGGGTTTTTAACGGTTTTTATAAACAAATTTATAGTCAAACCAAAACAATTTTAAAAACATTCTTAAATTAGTCAAATAAACACATTTTAACAATAAAATATAGTTGACATGATAGTATAATACCTTTACATTCTTTTAATTAATCCATGAGCTCATTTAGAGCGGTTGATGTAACATTTTCTGTGGCCTACATTATGTGTGCTCATCTATATATAATATAACAGTAAAAGGCTAATCACTGGCGCCACGACCGCATCGCCTTCAAAGTCAAATATCTCCGCTAAAACTACTCGTACGCCAAAACAAATTCGATTACATCTTTTCACAAAGATTTCTCTTTCTAAATAATATGGTTTGATCGTAGCTTGGGCAAATTTAGCGACGAACGGAGCCAAAATCTCCTCAATTTCGGATACTGTTCAAAATACTTAGGGCTGCTCGGGCACGATCGTGGACGTGACGTAATCAATACATACTGACAATAACGCCTTACCCGGGGTGGGACAGCATATCAAATCCGACGATGATTTGTCGCTTGATGCTGTCCCACCCCACGTAAGGCGTTATTGTCAGTATGTATTGATTACGTCACGTCCACGATCGTGCCCAAGCAGCCCTGAGTATTTCGAACAGTATCCGAAATTGAGGAGATTTTGGTTCCGTTCGTCGCTAAATTTGCCCAAGCTACGATCAAACCATATTATTTAAAAAGAGAAATCTTTGTGAAAAGATGTAATCGAATTTGTTTTGGCGTACGAGAAGTTTGAGCGGAGATATTTGACTTTGAAGGCGATGCGGTCGTGCCGCCAGTGATTAGCCTTTTACTATTTAAGAATGTTTTTAAAATAGTTTGGTTGACTATAAATTTGTTTATAAAAACCGTTAAAAACCCGCAACACCTGATCATTCATTCTGAGATTGGGCCGCCTGTG